ATCAACATGACAAGCAGGAGCTCGCCAGACGACCACGCCTGCTATTTCATATAATTAGGGGTCGGAAGAATCAGTACTACTATTCCTTCAAAATATACTGTATATTCGCTATAACACAGCCGCAAAACCCAGTCTAATTATTGAGGCCCCTGCTTTCCTTTTGGCAGTGCTACCACTGCGGAGCACGCGCCGAACATAAGCAACACCGAGAATGTAGCGACTTCATGCTGCACAAGCGGCACCAAGACCAGATGCCAGTTAAATTGTCTTTAGCAGGTGTGGGCCCTGGATGGAGCACGAGCTTGAGCTAGTAGGCGCGCAGCGCAACGTGGAGGGCTGTGGTTGTTTGTTGTTGTCAGTCTTTTTGAGGGGAGGGCGGGGCGGGTTGTGGGGTTTAACCCAACACCCAGCACCGTCTTTGTTGTTAGTGGTCCTCAGCGGGGTTTGGAGTTACCTCAAGGCCCTTAAGCAAATCACACCCAATTCGACGCGGAACCCCAAATCCAGCCGCAGCACGAATAAGCTCGACCACAGATTCTTAAACCGCTTCTCTATAAGCGCCTTAAAATAGTATCTTTATGACAATCCTTATTCATTCAGGGAGCGGGATTCATTAATCGGGGGTCTGCATCATGATGAAAGAAAAGGGCAGCACCACGAGCCGCGAAGATCTAGTGCCAACCCACCTTGCTCCTCCGCTCCTCAGTGCACCCGAAGAGCCGGGCCATCCCTTAATAAACCAACAGGTTCACACGTTCAAGTTTCAATGTTGAGGTACGTTCCTTGTGTGCCGAGTGTCGATCACAAGACCTCCTCCAACCCTAAACCCTAAACCCTACACCCTAAAAGACAGTTTCACCCCCCAAACCCGTAGAACCTAAAATCCAAATCCCTGAACGGATTTCCCGAAAGCCCGAAAGCACAAGCTCCTCGAAGGTTGGATAACCCAAAGCCCCCCATAAGACCCATACTATCAGCCCTCATGGAAACCACCCCTAAAGCCCTCAGCTTGCCACACCTCCTAAACCCCAAATGCTATGCCCTAAACCCTAAACCCCTAAACCTAAACCCCTAAGCCCCTAAACCATAAACCCCTAAACCCCTAAGCCCCTAAACCATAAACCCCTGAACCCCTAAACCCCTCAACCCTAAACCCCTAAACCCTGAACCCTAAACCCTGAACCCCTGAAAACCCTAAACCCTAAACGCTAAACCGCTAAGCCCCTAAACCCCCAAACCCTGAAC